TCTCCCCAAAGACCTCCCATTAGACGGCAGGGTGGTCGACCTGGGCATGGCCAGTAGCCGTTGGGCACTGATTCGTGGTGAGAACCGGCAGAGGACCTTTGCTTTTGAAATCACGTCCTCATGACCAACTTGTGAGACAGGTTTTACTCTGATCCTGCTTTCAGATGAAGACACTGAACTCTAGTCTGTCAGCCAGGAGGCAGCCAGGTCAGGACTGGAATGCAAGCAGTCTGACCCCAGTCACAGGCAAGGTGCGCCTACGTCACCCCAGTGCCTTTGAAGTGCCAGTACGGTGAGGAGGGTGAAACCCGTGCACTGCTGGCAATCATGCCACCATGTTCTTCTCCGAGGATGGGCGTGCATTCGATTAGAGGCCTTGTCGAGTGTGGGGAGGTAAAGGAGGAAGGTAGGGAGTGGCAGAGCGTGATTCACTTCTTGCTTCTTGCAGCCAAAGGGTGCTTGTTGCGTGTGCAGTAGGACGACGATGCACGCCTCTGCCCAGACCTTTCTGCTTTAGCCGCCTGGGCCCTGGGTGTCCTGGGCCCCGGGAATGCCCGCCGCAGGAATATAGAACTGCCTGTGTGTGCAGTGGTGGGGGGTGTCCTGGGCCCGGGGATGCCCGCCGCAGGAATATAGAACTGCCTGTGTGTGCAGTAGGGGGTACCCTGGGCGGGGATGGGGGTCTGGGAGGAGGGGTGACGGCACGGGGGCGTGAATGGCCTACAGGGAAAGGCCCGGGACTGGCATGGCCTTGGCATCTCACTTGCAAACGCTGAGGACCTGTCCTGGGGAGGCCAGAGACTGGAAGCAGGAAGGGCTGGTTTCCAGGTGCCTGCCCAGGAGGCTCCTGTGCTGTGAGCTGTGGGCGGCTGTGGAAGGCCCTGGGGCTTGATTGAGGCCTGGTGAGGCTGGGCTAGTGGCTGGGAGGGAAGTGGGCAGGAGCCACTGCCTGGACTGGATGCCTCAGGGGCCTCTCCATGGAAGGATTGAACAAATGAGGCAACCATGTGGGGGCCATCGCCATCGTCTCCTTGTTGTGACTGGCTGTGGTAGCTTTTGGGTTCTCCAGAAGCGGAAGCAGCATTAGGGGTGCAGACGGCACACTGTGGGGTTTACACCTGTGACAAGAGGAGGAGGCCACTGGGTCCTCCAACTACAGCTCAGTCTCGCCTCATCTCCACCTGCCCCATGGGTGCTGCTGGCAGGGACTGCCCTTCTGAGGAGCCAGGATTGGGGAAGGGTGCAGAGGTGCCCGGCCCTGTGCCCCCACCTCACCTGGGTGTGACCAGAGTAGCACGTACTGCCAGCAGAGGCCAGAGCTCAGGGGCACCCACCACACTCTCACACTACCTCTACTGCAAAAACAAAAAGCAGCCACAGTGCACCTCTGTTTAGCAATGTGATCTGATTGAAATACTTGTCATGCAGCGTGCCCTTTCTGTGCCAAGAATCACCACGTTCATACCCCTATTTTACTGTAATATTTATTTTCTATTTTTTTTACTGATACAATAAATATAAAGTCCAATAAAAGAAAAGTTTTGCTGCATGCCTTTTTTCTGTCCCTTATTTATTTTATCCCATGATTATGAATGATTGTCACATAGAAGGCTGACATTAATCAGATTTCCCTAACACCTGACACTTGCCAACTGGTTCCATTTCATTTTTTCTACAGAAGCAGAAGTGAAAAGGTCTTGAAAATTATCTGACTTTTCACAGCTTCTTTCATTCTTTCTAGTCCTTTCTTCAAAGGTAACTGAAGATGACCGGGATTGTTGAGGACCCTGGATGAGAAAGCTGCTTTGTTTTCCTGAGTGTGTTCTGTAGCATCCCTCCCACTAAGAGACTCGGCCTGGGAGAGTCGACATCTCACTGGAGGCCGATAGAGGCAGAAGCTTCCCCCTTTCTCTTTGTCAAAGAAACCCTTTAGGGTGTCTTGAAATTACCATTTCCCTGAGTGCATTTCAGAGTCAGATTTGTAGTCATTTTATGTAGATACAACTTGTTAAGACTACCTCTACTGCACCAAAAAAAAACAAACCAAAAACAAAAAACCAGAACACCTCTATTGATGATGTGATCTAATTTAAGTATTTGTGAATTTTTGATGAGGTCCAGTCATGCCAGTGCCTCTTTCTGTGCAGAGAATCCCCATGTGCATTTCTCTAAGGTGGGGCTCCAGCCTTCCTGCCAAGAGACCTTAAGCTTCTTGAGGGCAGGGCCTGGGGCTTTTCCGCTACGTAGAAGGGACACTAGTCCCTTCTACTAGTGTAGGTGACCCAACTAGGCGCTGGGTCACCTCCCACCACGGACCCTCGAACGCTTGTGGAACAGGCAGGGCCAGCGTTAGGCCACCTGGAGCGTCATAGGCTTCTCCACGTGTCGACGTCATTTGTTTCTGGGCCTTTCTGTTAAAAAAGAAGAATGAGGAATTGACTCTCAGCCTCTTAAGCTTTGTTTTTTGCTTCCTTAAGCTTAAAAAAAAATCATTCTGACACGTTCATTCCCTTTTCTGCATTTAAATCAGATGATAAAATTACGGTTGCCCCACTCTGCCCCCACCCAGCTGACGCCAGGCACCCACCTGAGAGGGAGGGGCTGCACTTGGAGGCGAGGGAAGCCTGGCGCCCAGCACCTTCGTCTCCGCCTGTGTGAACTGCTCCTGCAGCTCCACCCTCCAGCTTCACTCACCTTCTGGTTTGGGTCTTTAAATTATTATCTCTTTCTGAGCGTATCATTGACCTGATTCTTGTCACCTTTCACTCAAATCCCTGCACTTACTATCTGATAGCCTTGCTCTATTTCCTGGATTTTTTCATTCACTACCTTTCTCACAATGCTCATTTCTTGGAAGAGTTTGATGTTGACTGTTTGCTGTGAAACTAGCTCTGAACAAAGTTCACTGTAGCAGTTGAAACGGTTGTTTAAAGCAACTTTTCTTTGAAAGATGCACAGCTTCTGATACCAGACTCCCACACTGCTCTGTAAAATGCCCAAGTTAACACTGAACGACTTGAGCCATCAATCCCGAGCCACTGGACTGACCACCACCCCACATCCCTGCTGTGGGCTCCCGGCCTGGACTTCACAGTGCCTTTGTGAACACTTCAGGACCACACATGGCATCCAGGTTTACAAATCTGTTTTAGTTTGCAACATCTTCTATGTAGTTTCTTAGGGAAAAAAAAAAAAACAGATTCTTTAGATTTTCTGTCCAGTAGTTTCTTTCTGAGATTACAAAAAAAAAGTATTGTTCCTTCATCTATGTCAGAATCCAGAAACTACTTGTATTTGGCCAATTCTAGAATGCTTTCAAAATGTTTTCCGCTTACAGAGCACTTTCACAAAAATTAACTCTTTTTCCCAACAAACCTGTAAAATAACTAGCACACATTTAGCTCTGAGATTAGCAGAGCCTAATCTACCACTGCGGCCCGACTCTGGGTCCAAGGCTCTGCCCTATACCGCATTGGAACCCAGGGACAACGAGCTCGCCAAGTAGCAAAACAAAGCCCTTTCAGAATAAGTTAGAAGCAAATGTCAAGATAGCCTAAACAAATGACATAATTGATTTGAAATGGATTTGTTTTTAAGTTAATAAAGACAACTAGTGGAGGGGACCACAGTTACCCAATCTACAGGACAGTGTTGCCACCACTCAATACAGTCATGCAGGAAAATGGGTTTCCTTGAGGATATGCCTTGAGGCTATAGGACTTTGAAGTCATCTTTGAGGCCAGTAGTAGGCGTGGACTCTGTGTGTAGGATCCCATCGAGGACGTCTGGACACACAGCTGGGCGCCATCGTGATTAGATGGCAGTGAGTAGACATGGATTTGTCAGGAAGAGACATTGCTGGAAGAGGCAAAGACAATTCCAAAGTCTCCCAAATTCTTGGAAGATTCAAGAAAGACAAAGGTACCAAAAAGAAGCAAGAGGCCCCCAGAAGCTTCATGGGAGGGCGGATGAGGCTAGTGGCTCAAGCACTGAGCAAGCAGGGAGGAGGAAATTGGACCTGGGTGACTGGGAGCAGGGGCAGGTGCTTCAACAGAAGGGCACACTCTGGGGAGCACTTGAGGTGGGCAGAGTTGCTTCATCCATAGTTGGACAGACTGAGCACTGAATTATGTGTTCTAAGAAATGCAATTCTGACCCAGTGACTGCTACTCAGCCTAATTCAAACCATCAAACACAAACGAATATCCTTTTGAGGTGGTTCAACCAACGTCCTCTTGCTCCAGAGGTAAGAATTGTTTTGCCCCAAAACTTTTACAAAAAAAAAAAAAAAAAAAAGCCTGCAAGTCCTTGGAAAAGAATGATCTTAAAAAGAAAAATCTCAGTGGGAAGAGAAGCAATGGGGTGATTAAAAAGTGTCTGTGTGGGTGCGGTGGCTCAAGCCTGTAATCCCAGCACTTTGGGAGGCCGAGACGGGCGGATCACGAGGTCAGGAGATCGAGACCATCCTGGCGAACACGGTGAAACCCTGTCTCTACTAAAAAATACAAAAAACTAGCTGGGCGAGGTGGCGGGCGCCTGTAGTCCCAGCTACTCAGGAGGCTGAGGCAGGAGAATGGCGTGAACCCAGGAGGCAGAGCTTGCAGTGAGCTGAGGTCTGGCCACTGCACTCCAGCCTGGGCAACAGAGCGAGACTCCATCTCAAAAAAAAAAAAAAAAAAAAAAAAAAGTGGCCGTGACAACCACCCGTGTAAAGAGACGATGATTCAGTGGGATGGTGGGTGTCCTGACTTTCTGAGCCGGACTAAACTGAGTCAGCACCACCACCACCCTCTTCGACGTCTACCAGGTTCAGACTCAAAGGTTAGGAAGCAGAAAACCGTGACATTCTTCGGAAGTGAAAAACAACCTGAGATTTGGGAAATTAGCCTGACTGGCATCACTTGGGTGGCAAAGATTTTCTTTTGTCCCAGCTGTATACTTTGTGATCTGATACTAGCACTAGACAAATGTTCATGTGTGGAAAGAAAACTTCTCAAAACGACCTCTGAAGCTTATTTTTATTTATCTATGTGCCAAAAGGAAGCAGGTGAGATTTAAGGTAAAAACAAACAAAAAACTATCTTCTGTAGTGACATCACCTTTTTCTTATTTCCATATTTTATGGGGCCCTTGTTCTTAGTGTGCTTGTTGCTCAAATCTCACTCAAGGAGACCTCACTGTAAAATTCCCGATGTGTATTTCACAGAACAGGCAGGGACCACACTGCTGTCCTGTGATGCTTCAGTGCCTGCTGGCCAACAAAAACCAAAGAGAATGTTCTGCACGCCGTTTTCTAGGAAATGAGTGGGATTTGATCAGGTGGATCCTGACCTCCCACTCAGAATGATTTACAGCTTCGGTGGCTCTTCCTGCAGTGTTGCCAGGTGCTGCTGGACTCGTCACCGGCTTCACTGCCCTCCTACTCAGGCTCAGCGCAGCCTCTCCAGTCCACAGTGTCCCAGTCCTTAGAGTAGGAGCCGGATTTCTCGGAGGTTTGCTCTTCTGTAACTATCAGATGGAGAGTCATTAAAAGAAGTGTCTTTTCGATGTGTGGCCTTTGGGAGAAATTGGAATCATGAAAACTGTTTCCACTCCTCAATGTTGCCACAGCCAACACGTCTAGAAAATGATAGAATTTTCCATTGTCACCTTTCTTTATCCAAAACTTTGCCAGATTGGGGTCCCAGAATAATTTATCCCAAAACCCCAGTTTCTAGCCCATTTCTCGCATTGCTTGGCTCTGAAGAGCTGAGGATTCCTTGAATGGCAGGTGCCGCCTCCCTTGGGGCCGTGCGTGCCGCCTCCCTTGGGCCGTGTGTGCCGCCTCCCTCCGGCCGTGCGTGCCGCCTCCCTCGGGGCCGTGCGTGCCGCCTCCCTCGGGCCGTGCGTGCCTCCTCCCTCGTCGAGGCCGTGCGTACCTCCTCCCTCAGGAGCCGTGCGTGCCTCCTCCCTCGGGCCCGTGCGTACCTTCCCTCAGGCCATGCACATTACCTCCTCCCTCGAGGCCGTGCGTGCCTCCTCCCTCCTGAGCCGTGTGTGCCGCCTGCCTCCCGGCCGTGTGGCCTCCTCCCCTCGAGGCCGTGCATTGCCTCCTCCTCAGCCGTGCATGCCCGCCTCCCTCGAGCCGTGCGTGCCCCGCCTCCCTCAGGAGCCGTGCGTGCCTCCTCCCTCAGGCCATTGTGCCTCCTCCTCCAGCCGTGCGTGCCGCCTCCCTCAGGCCGTGCGTGCCGCCTCCCTCAGGCCGTGCGTGCCGCCTCCCTCGTGTTTATGATGCTTAGCAGAAAGGAGCTCTCCAGGAGTAGGCAGATTTACCCACCTCGTGGCCTCTCCCAGACAGGTCACTTGAACCCCTGAAAACCTCTAGGTCTCTAAAAGTGGATATTTTTACAGTAAATTAACAGCTAATTCTCAGAAGACATGGGTTACCCCATTTACATAAAGAAGTCCTCAGAATTTCTTTGAATGGCAACAGCGCCGTGCGTGCCGCCTCCCTCGGGCCGTGCGTGCCGCCTCCCTCGGGCCGTGCGTGCCGCCTCCCTCGTGTTTATGATGTGGCAGGAAAGGGCTCTCCAGGAGCAGACAGGTGCCCACCTCGTGGCTCTCCAGACAGGTCATGAACCCCCTGAAAATCTCTAGGTCTCTAAAAGAGTGGATATTTTTTACAGTAAATTAACAGCAGCTAATTCTCCAAGAAGACATGGGTTACCCCATTTACACTAAGGGTCCTCAGAATTTCTTTGAATGGCAACAGCAGCTGTCCTGTAATGCAAACCAAAGGACAGAGAACCTTTTTTTTTTTGTTTTTTTTACCATGGTAGAGTTTTGAGTGGGCAATGGGGAATTCTGGGTGTCTGAGTGGTTTCAAGCCTTTTTCCTCTTTAGATAGCAGGTCACACTGCGCCTGTTTCATCGCTGATACCAATTGTTTTATATCCTAACAGGCAACGCAGACTGCCTTCCGAGACACGCCCATGCTGACCCCGGCCCCGCCCCGGCCGTGTTGAACTTGGGTGATCATGCATACACATTATTTTCCACAGAAAGATACACACCAGAGCTCATTAGACAGCCCACTGGGCTGCATCAGGTGCTAACAGACACTGCAGCTGTCTGACCAGCAAAAATATTGTGGGCTTGCAGTAACGGTCATGTGGCTAGGTAGAATGTGGGGAATCTGATCTCTCTGTTTTTAGGATTATTTCCCGTAGTTAAAGGAAGTCACTGGGATTGGTTTTAACTCCTATTTGGATTTTCTTCTCCTACAGAACACCATCCTCTCCTAATTTTTTTCACGCTTTTTGAAAGCAGCTTTATTGAGGTAAGATTCACCTATCATAAAATTCACCTGAGGTCAGGAGTTCGAGACCAGCCTGACCAACAAGGAGAAACCCCGTCTCTACTGAAAAATACAAAATTAGCTGGGCGTGGTGGCAGGCATCTGTAGTCCCAGCCACTCGGGAGGCTGAGGCAGGAGAATTGCTTGAACCCCGGAGGCAGAGGTTGCAGTGAGCCGAGATCAAGTCATTGCACTCCAGCCTGGGTGACAAGAGCGAAACTCCATCTCCAAAAAAAAAAAAAAAAATCACCCATCTACAGCGTACAAGGATGTTTGGTGACTCTCCTGTGGTGTGCAGCCATCTCCTCCATCCGGTTTCAGAATATTTTCATTGCCCAGTGACATCCCCGGCCTGTGTGCTTCCCGTTCCCGCTCCCCATACTGACAACCGCCAGTCTCCTTTTTGTCTCTACCAGTTTGCCTTCTTAGGACATTTCATATAAAAGAATCATGCAACCTTTCACGTCTGGCTTTCTTCACCCAGATTCAGCCCCCAGGGCACGTCTGGGCGGTTCTTTCCTTTTGGTTGAACAGCCTGGTTTCTTTCTTATTGGAGTGCAGGACCGATCGCCAGTGAGTCGGACCAGTGGTTCCCCCGGGGCCGAGTGCCCCCAGGGCATTTGTCTGGAGACATTTTTGGCTGCCACACCTGGGGTGGGGGCCGCTCCTGACATCAAGAAGATGGGGACGCTGCTAAGCCCCTGCCAGGCACAGGGCAGCTCCGCACCGGGAGTTACCCCGCCCGAGTATCACGAGCGCCAAGGTGGAGGATCCTGTGTTAGACTCACCGAATTTTCACTCACCATCCAGGCGCCTGTCTAGAACCCAGTGGTCCATGACATCAGCCTCCTTCCCGTTGACAGTGCTGCATGCCACTGTCCTGGAGTTTTTGTTTAATTTTTACGTAGATTTGAAATAAACTCTTGTGGAATTGATGACTTTTCTTACCATTTGGGTAAATTCTGGAATCTCCTAAAATATTAGGGGTAGTGTGCGCTGTCCACGAGAGGAAGATGAGGAGAAAAACAGTACAACCCTTGGCTCCTGGTTGAGACATCCACACAACCTGGTTTTAGAAGTAGAAAAATCTCAAGTGGTTTGGCTGATGCAGGCTAAGATCCCATGAAGCTGCAGAAACAGGTGGGAAGCTTACGGTAAAATCATATAATAAAGCACATTCAGTTTATTCAGCAACAAGTTGCATTTCGTTTGTTTTTGTGGTGTGAGGACCAGTGTTCCACATTCTGGTTCCACTGTTCGTATGAAGGAATAAAGTTCACAGTGGAGTAGAGGTGAAAAGGAAACAGATCTAAAGAAACAAAACTAAAGAAGTTCTTATCATCCAGCACTTGGCACAGCATAAAATCCCTTTAGGAGCAAGAAGAAATCAGCCTGAATTAAAACACTTTGTTTTATCTGAGACCAGGGACTCGCTGGCCGCTCACTTCTTTTTCTCTGGGGTGGCTGAGATGCCAAGACATGAAATTCCATCTCTCAGTTCTTTGGAGCTCTGTGTGTTGATAAATCAGAAACAAAGCACTCTGTTTGGAGCTTAATAACGTAAAAGGAGACTGCTGTGATGTAGTCGGTAAACTGTAGCTGGCAGAGGGTACCTTTGGGGATTTGACGAATAAACAATGGCAGCGTTTCAACTGCCCAGGCAGTCTCCGCTCCCTGACCCCTCTTTTGCTCCAGTGGGCAACTCTGCCTCGGCCCTGCGAGGACACGGGGAGGTCGTGGGACCTGCCCCAGGGGCTCTGCTGCAGCGTCGGGTCCCTCATCTCCTCTTTGTTTTGACACAAAGAATAACTGCACCAAAAATATATGGTGAGAGTAAACTGAGGGCAAAGCGCACACACACACACAGCACGCATGCATAAACACGTGCGCACATGCACATATACACGTACACACAACACATGCATATACAATACAACGTGTGCCTATGCACACGCAGACACGATACACGCAGATACACATATGCACAGATACATCCACATGCACAGAACGCATACACTTACAGCATGTGCACACACCACACATGCATACCCACATACGTGTGCATGTACATGCAGGCCGACATACATGATGCATGCATACACATACACAACATGTGCACGTATGTACATATATGCCATGCATGCAGACACAATTCATGCACATACACATACAGAGTGTGTATGCACACTAACACAGGACTCATACACACACACACTCTTCAGAGTTACTGCAGGCACTTGGACACATTCTTTATTCATCACTGCCAGACCAATATTGTGTCCTGTGTTACAGAGGAGGAAGCTGATGCTAAAAGCGGTTAAATAATTTGCTCTGAGCCACACGGCAGGTAAGTGATAGAGCCTGGGTCGAAACCACGTGCTCTCCAAATCTGAACTCCGAAGAGAAGCAGCACAAAGGAAGTATTCCCTTTAAAAAGATGTGGGTATTCCAGCCCAGTCGTCCCAGCACCACTGAGCACCACTCAGCTGTACTCAGCGAGGGCATGGAATTCCACCTGAACGTGAAGCGCAGGAGTGTGATAATAGACGTAACCTCTCTCTCTTCCCCATCCATCCCCCCGAAAAGGAGACATAAGCGAAGCCCCCGCCCCACACCATGTCTCTCTAAACCATCCCAGGAATAAGCGGTTTGCATTTTGGCTGTTGGAGGTGGTGGCAATGGGAGGGGCTCTGAATTCTCTGTGCACATCTTTGTCTCCAGAACTGGTGATCGGATGAAGCTCTGCGAATCCCAGGGAGGAGAGTGGAAAGTGGTTGCTGTTACAGTCCCCTCAGGAGTGTGTGTGTTCTTCCCTGAAGGTGACTTTCTGTCCCCCAGAAATGTCTGCGGCTCATGGAGGCCTGCGGACTCTCCAGGAGCAGGAAGCGCCAGCTCGGTGAGAAGCTGTTACCTATGAGAACTCAACGCCCAAGCTCTGCTCCCTGAACCCACACAGGCTCCCTGGGCAGAGCTGGGCTCACAGCCCCCAGGACTTCCCTTCTCTTTGTTTCTGTGATTGCCTTCTCATCCTTGGGTCTTCTTTGGAGACATTTTATTTTGTAAATTTGAGGATTTCAATTGCTATTATTATTATTACTTTGAGATGAAGTCTCGCTCTGTTGCCAGGCTGGAGTGCAGTGTCATGATCTCTGCTCACTGCAACCTCCAACTCCCTGGCTCAAGCGATTCTCCTGCCTCAGCCTCCCGAGTAGCTGGGATCACAGGCGTGTGCCACCGCCAACCTAATTTTTGCATTTTTAGTAGAGACGGGGTTTCACCATGTTGGCCAGGATAGTCTCGATCTCCTGACCTCGTGATCTGCCCGCCTCAACCTCCCAAAGTGCTGGGATTATAGGCGTGAGGCACCGTGCCTGGCCATTACTATTATTTTTTAAATGGGGACTCTGGCACTCAGGAAGTGTTTATCCCAACTTTGGAGACATGCTATGACCTAGCGTGCAGCCAGGGAAAAGTGACATCAGCCCTAAAAACAGTGAAATTCCTCAGGCCACTCAGCCCTTGCCAGACGCTGGCTTCCTGCACGGCCGAGTGACTGAACTGTGAGTCTATTCCACACTTACTGGCCACCTTCTCTACCAATGAACGCGAAGCATTTCATTTCTTCTTAAGGTCAACAGATTTTAAAGGACAAAAATTGCATATGTTTATGGTGTACAACATATTTTGGAA